TTACATCTACGTTGAAGATACTTTCATCAACGTATATGATACTTCCATCTACGAAGATGATACTACTGGACAATTCATTTGCCACATTTCTTTCCATTTTCTCTCAAACTGTCTTATGGTATTGTTTTTGTGTGCAGATGAATTCTCTATCCGAAATATTTCGATAACAGTCTTCAGAAAGTTTTCAAGTGTCAATTTGTTTTTCTCAATACTTGAGACATGTTTATATTTTTTGCATGCCAGTATGATGTGATTTAATAGAATGTAAGAGTTTTACCCATGTGAAAAGGAGCATTTTGTAAGTGTAAATTGTTTTGAACATTTTGCATTCAGAAAACAGAAGATATACTTAAGTCTAGAATGGTATCCCATTTTTACATACTGTTGTCGTTTCATAAAAATATCTGGAGCCTTTAAGCACTACAAGTAAATCCATCAAAGTTATATTTAAATATTGATTATATAAGGTAATGTGATTATTTCTAATAGTATCTTTCAAGGATTATGGTATGCTTAATAGAACCTGGTAATAGTCAATAGTTGTGCCCTTAATTTGGTATTTTCTTTTAAGTTCATTGAAGGGCATTATATCATCTTTATTACAGAGATCTTTAAAAGTGTATATTCCCTTTAAAAACAAATTTCTTATAATGAAATCAGTTTTTTTAAACTGATGGTTACACCTTAGTTTTGTGTCGTCTATACAATGTTCCCCAGAACAATGGAGCCAAAACATCTTCCCAGTAAGGGTTAGCTAAGTGTATACAGTTTTCAATATTGGTCCCAAGTAGGAATATGTTTTTTAGTGGAAAGATGCTTTGGTTATAACAGTTTTTTATTTGATGATGTTTTTGTTTTTTTAAATGACAGTTTTAGAGAAATTATCAAACACCTCACCTCTATCATTCTCAGTCTGCCTTCATATTTTCTAATTAAAGTTGTTCGTTTTATTTTGTCCCTTTTATCAGTCCAGATGAATCTGTACAATATTTTGTTTAGTTCGTCAATAAATTCACTTGGAGGGTTTGGAGGAGAGGAAAATATATGTACTTGGGTTGACAGGGCCAAGGTTTTGACAACAGTATTTTTTACCTATCAATGTTAAATTTCTTTTCCTCCAATTCCCTAAAATATTATTAAGAATTTCAATTCTCTTTTTTTGTATTGATTAGCCACAGAATGTTTCAGTTCGAATTAAGTTTTGTTCCCAAAATTTCAAATCCCCACTGTGCCAGTCTAGTTTCAGATCCCGGCATATTTTGATGTCACAGCCTGTCATTGAGCCTATCCATATTGCTTTTGTTTTATAAATATTAATTTTTAATCCAGACATTTTATAGAAATCGTTTAGGGTGTCAATCGCTGTACTTAAACTTTCGTCAGTCCCGTCTACAAATATTTCTGTATCATCAGCATATTGTCCGAGTTTATGTTCCACATTATTCAGTTTGATTACTTTTATTGCATTATTATCACGAATCATTATTCCCAAAGTTTCTGCAACGAGCAAGAATAGATATGGAGATAATGGGTCTCCTTGTCTACATCCTCTTTCGTTATAGAAGAATGTAGATAGGTGTCCATTTTGTATGATGCAAGATGAAGCATTATTTATAAGTATGTATATCCATTTTCTTATATTAGGTCCAAAGCCAAACTTTTCCAGTGTCAACATGGTAAATTGTTTTGAAACGGTATCAAAAGCTTTTTCAAAGTCTATAAGTAATAAGTAATCCAGGCTTATTTTGTATTTTTGTTTCAAACAAAATATCATAGTAGTCGTATGTTTTCACTAATACACCTTCCAGGGATAAAGCCAGTTTGGTTTTCGTGTACAAGAGTATTAAGTGTTGTTTTTATTCTGTTTGCTATACATCTACTCATAATTGTATACAATGAAATTAAGAGAGAAACTGGTCAGCAGTTTTTGAGTAGTTGTTTATCTTGAGTGCCTTTGGGTATACAGGTAATGACACCTCTATTCATTGTTAGACTCAAAGTGTTATTTCTAAATGTTTCAGTGATATATCTGTATACCCATATTCCAAGATGCTTCCAGAGAAATTAAAAAAACTCCACAGGGAATCCATCAATACCTGGATTTTTGTTATTTGTCATAGATTGTATGGCCTTTGTTATTTCATTCATGTTAATCATGTCTTCTAAACAATCAAACTCTGATTTAAGTTTTAGTGATTCATTAGTTATTGCTCCACTTGAAGAGTGTAGTTTCTCATAAAAAAATCTTTGTTCAGTTAAGATGGATTGTTCATTGGTTATTAACTCCCCTTTTTCAGTTATAATACTGTTAATTAGTTTACTGGTATAGTTCCTGTTTTCAAGATAACAAAAATATTTTGATGGTTTCTCTCCCACCTAGTACCACTGGATTCTGTTTCTTATTTGTATTCCCCTTGATTCTCTTTCTTTTTAATTTTCAAAAAGTACTTTATATTTAGACAAGTCTGACAGTTTTGATTCACTTATATTCTGAACATTTCCCCAAATTTCTTCTTCTATTTGCTTTATTTTTTCCTCTAAGTTTATACTTTCTTCATTTTTGGTTTTCTTTAAATGAGCGGGAAAAGATATTGATTCATCAAAACTGATTCTTAAAAAAGGAATATCACTGATTTTTAATTTTAAGTTTAGGCCTTCAGTTTCTCTTGCTTCGTCTTTGGAATATTTACTGTTTGAATTTTCTAGCTGAACACCTTTACCTCTTTGGCTTTTTCTTTTATTGGCCATTTTAGTTACGATTTGGATGGATTTTGCTCGGGAGGTTGTTATGTGCGACCTGTCGCCATGAGCGCCACCTGTGAGTTTGCGTTGAAGACACGTTTATCTACGTACATGTATATGATACTTTTATCTACGAAGATGATACTACTCACATCTACGTTGAAGACACGTTCATCTGCGTACATGTATATGATACTTTCATCTGCGAAGATGATACTACTCACATCTACGTTGAAGATACTTTCATCAACGATGATGATACTACTCACATCTACGTTGAAGACACGTTCATCTGTGTACATGTATATGATACTTTCATCTACGAAGATGATACTACTCACATCTACGTTGAAGATACTTTCATCTACGATGATGATACTACTCACAGCTACGTTGAAGACAAGTTCATCTACGTACATGTATATGATACTTTCATCTGCGAAGATGATACTACTCACAGCTACGTTGAAGACAAGTTTATCTACGTACATGTATATGATACTTTCATCTACGAAGATGATACTACTCACATCTACGTTGAAGACACGTTCATCTGCGTACATGTATATGATACTTTCATCTGCGAAGATGATACTACTCACATCTACGTTGAAGACACGTTCATCTGCGTACATGTATATGATACTTTCATCTGCGAAGATGATACTACTTACATATACGTTGAAGACACGTTCATCTGCGTACATGTATATGATACTTTCATCTGCGAAGATGATACTACTTACATATACGTTGAAGACACGTTCATATACGTACATGTATATGATACTTTCATCTGCGAAGATGATACTACTCACATCTACGTTGAAGATACTTTCATCAACGATGATGATACTACTCACATCTATGTTGAAGATACTTTCATCTACGAAGATGATACTACTCACATCTACGTTGAAGACACGTTCATCTGCGTACATGTATATGATACTTTCGTCTACGATGATGATACTACTCACATCTACGTATAAGATACTTTCATCTACGAAGATGATACTACTCACATCTACGTTGAAGATACTTTCATCTACGTATATGAAGTTGCGACACTAGTTAGATATAGTGTCTACAAACATCTACATTTTTTATAAAGGTGATTACTTAATTACTGTTAATTTATTTACTTGTTTGGGAGCATATTGGTTGTTTATTATATTTGGTTTTATTAAAACATATTTAGAGCGTTAACCCCAACTTCCGTACTGGAGAAGTCATGAGCATGAACAGATTCGAGTCATTTCGCCGTCTTAATCCATGTTGTGTTTGATATATACCTTCGCTAAAAGTTTGCAAAATCAGTCAATCAGAAAATATTTGGTTGATCAAACATCACAAATAACTCCTCTACAGTGAGGAATACCCATTTGAATGACAATCTCACTACCTTCAATTTCGACCTTTCTTGACTTGTTACTCTTCACTGACAATAGTTGCCAAAGTAGTTTTTCACGGTTACAGTGCTATTTACAAAACGCTTGCCCCCAGAGGACAATCCCGACCTGTTGCCCTGATAATTTACTGGTGGAATGAGTTGACTGGCACAACCGCTGGAAACGGAAACACCCTGAAGTAGATCTGAATACCACCGTATTTTGGCCTTTATTGACATGAGACTGCTCGGGTTTATGTCTGATAAGCTGTTGTGAACAGATCTGATATAAAACCTATACAATCTACTGGGTTATCGGCAACCATTTTCATGTGCATCCATATGTAGGGGATCGATATATCCAGGTTTTGGTGTAAAAGGGCATGTTAATTACGAGATATCGAATGGAATTAGATACCTGCGTTTAATGTTATTTTGATTTCTGTTATTCAGAATCAAACGTTCTTCAGTGTCAGGATAGAATGGCCTATAACCAAATCTGTTGTGCAGTTTGTTTACAAATATACCATAGTGAGTATTGAAATGTATTGACATTAATACAATTAATGAGTGATACCAAACAGACACCTTGAGACATATAAATATTGATATTGTCAAGGCATTTTGTTAGAACCGTGAATTTATGTACATTTTGGATCCCCTGATTGATGCCATCAAAGAAAATGCATGTATTTAATGTGTGAGTTCGATGTGACTGGTACACGGGCAGTGTGTTTCATACATTACACCGGCGCTCTTCCGCCTCTTCTCGCCATTCAACGCTAAAACAACATTCAAGAGCCACATTAATTCCTTTGGCTGCAATCATTTGTCACATCATCGAGACACATAGTAAATAATTTATGGCTTGTTTGAGATACTCTTTATTTTCTGGAAGAGTAGAAGATTACAAGACTTAGCTATAAACTTCCGAGGTCAGACACAAAAGGCCTATATACGGTAACGACATATAGACACGGGTATTTTACAATTGTCCTTAAAGGGGGACTAGGTTCGAGTCAAGTGGCACTCCCAGCAAGCTTGATTCAAGCAGGGAGCCTTCATAGACTTTGTATAGTCTCCCTGATTCAATCAATTAAAACACCACTTCGTTTGTCTGCTAGCCCAAGTGTTATCATGAATATCATTCTTATTGATGACGCTGATTACTCAACGGCACAATTTCACAATTGGCACTAAGTACGTCAGACCGTAAAACAAGGCCAGCCTTTTGATGCAAATGTCTGTTTGTTGTTTAACGCCGAATTCAGGAATAGTTCACCTATATGACGGCGGTCTGTAAATAATCGAGCCTGCACCAAACAATCAAGTGATTGACATCATAAGCATCTGTCTACGCATTTGGGATACAATGAGATGCATCATCCAAGTCAGCGAACCTGACCAGGCGATCAGGCGATCCATTTAGTCGCCTCGTACGACAAGCATAGGTTGCTGGGGACCTATATTCGTACCCGGCTTCCCACGGGTTGTCGCTGGGTAGCAAAATGCAGCCAATACATAGCTTCCATGATCAGAAACTACCAACTGATAATCATCACTATACTCATCGTCTACTGTCAATGCTCCCTAATGACGTATATCACACCCTTATGACGTATAATACACCCTTATGGCGTGATATTGAATTTGGGAGCAAACCAAATGCACCCATGCCCAGGTCGCTCTGCTGCTGGAAGCCACAGCAACTTTGGATCTGTTTGAGCCATGTACCTCTTCCCAAGGAGCTTTGGACAGCATCAAAGAAGGACGTGAAAGAGGTATTGTCTGTATTATTAATTCCTTAGAAACACGATTTATTAATGTTTTGCTTTTTCTTGCATCTCCTTGTTAATTTTGTGTCAATGATATTTTTAAACTCGCAATGTAACAAAACGCCAAATGGAATTTCAGTGTCTAAAGCAGCCATTGTTTCAAGCAGCGTAAGAGTGATGGTCTGTGTTTCAGCACGATGGCTGCAAAGTGACAAGGCAGTTTAAAGTCATTGTCGTCTGTTAATCTGTACTTTCTCTCCGCTTGTGTGCTCAGTACGCATCCATAGCTCAGAGGAAGGTATTGCACAACTCGGGTCCACACGGCTTTGACATAAAGGATTTATTTGAGACTGAGACGGACCGAGCGCATCAGAGTGAGATGCTGTTACCTCCCCTGAAATAACAATGTCTTTCATCAGAGGGTGACGTTGTTACCTCCCCTGAATAATCAATGTCACTCATCGAAGGGAGATGTTGTTACCTCCCCTGAATAATCAATGTCACTCATCAAGGAGAGATGTTATTACCTCCCCTGAAATAACAATGTCTTTCGTCAGAGGGAGACGCTGTTACCTCCCTTGAATAATCAATGTCACTCATCAAAGGGAGATTTTGTATCTTCACTGAATAATCAATATCATTCATCAAAGGGATGTGTTGTTACCTTCCCTGAATAATCAAAGTCACTCATCCTCGGAGTGAGATATTGTTACCTCCCCTGAATCGTGTTGTTGGGGAAATCGCCTGTAGGTTGCGAATCCTGCTTCCTGAGGCTTGAGGCAAATGCGTTTAATTTCGGCTTTAAGGCTGGGCAAAATCAGCCACACATACGGCAAGATTGCAGCTTTAGACAGAAGAATAAGAACTAAAACGCTCTCCGTCACATAAAAAGCACCAACATCAAGTCTCTCTGGGGGAATAATTTTCCAAATCTGAAACGGGGCCGAACACACAATAGTAACGATACACGGAATAATGAAAGAGCGACGAGGTTCAATGACGTCATCATCAGCCTCTTCAATGAGTTGTGACGTCATATTGACATAACATCCGGGTCGAGATAGCGCCCAGGGTTTATACACCATGTATATGAAAGTACCAATGATAACCACAAGCGGCAGCAGACAGCATATTACTTTCAACGGGATATCCGATTCCAAGCTGAGTATAAACGAACATTGCCAAGTTTCATTCATATAGTCACGCAATCCTAAAGCTATTCCAGGTGTGACAGTGAGGACCATGGCCGCCCAAGGGAGAAGGGCCAAGGTCACGTACAGAAGGATTCGTCCACATGGCGATAACCTTGGCAAGCGGGGACGACACAAACGTACACAGAAATCGATATTCAATGCCACAAGGTACCACAAGTTGACAAATTCCATACCGAAGTACACAAAAGCCATTTGGATAATCAGGAAAGTACAGTTGTATCTGTTTTTGGCGTAATACTGAACTCCACACAGACATAAAGTAACTCCGGCCAACACGTCACAAACCGCGGTACCAAAAATGAACCAGAACCGAAGACGTTGACGAAGTCGCTTGGAGGTGACGATGATGAGACACAATCCAATGTTGCCAATGAAGGCGAAAGCCATCAGTATGAAAATGATCGGTCCAAGGATATCCATAGTGCTGTTGTCTTGTATTTGTACTTGATATAGTCACGGAAGACAGGTTCGCCTGTTTACTGCCACTGAAATATAACATACTGTAACGTTATTGCCATTAAATGTGTCAACATCATGCAGTTTTATTGCATTTGCATAACAGATACGGGAGGCGTGTCGGGGTGTTTTGGATGTAGCGTCGCTTTGAACAGTATTTCAGTTACATCACCGCATGCCAGTGTCATGATGGAGGTCGTATACATGTTACAATCAGATGTGAAATCAGTCATTTAGTGATATGGCTAAAACTTTTAGTCATTTCATGAAATGACTACTAGGCTTAGTCAGTGACTCTTATGTTGAAGAAACATCAAGGCCTCTCCCAATAAGAATTAAGATACATCAAACCTCGTTAGAGAAGAAAGACTCCAAATCCCCCATCTCTGATCATATCTAAGCCCATGTAGATCACAACATTTACTTTCCAGAAGTCATGCCAAATACAACATCAAGAAGCGATACACAGAGATCAAGGCTATAACATCCCGAAGGCCTGCCAAAAGCTCATCACTGAAACAGTCTTAACCTCATTTCCATTATCCATTTTATATATCTTAATGGGGTTTTTTATGAAACTGTATGAAAGTCTTGTTGAGCCGGTAATGTTTTATAGCTCTAGTATATGGGAATTGAACGTTTATAGAGAAGTTAATCTAATCCAAAATAGAGCCTGTAAATTCTGTCTTGGTGTTAGTAAACGTACCTCCAATATAGCCACTAATGGAGACACGGGTCTCTCCTAACCGTTTGTTACATTACATGTAAATGTTTTTAGACTGTACATCAAGATTAACAACAGTACTTTTGTACGATTTGATTAAGTGTGTTTACTATGTCTAAGTCTTATAAAAGTACATGGAGAACTAAAGTTGTTAAAATTGCATGTAATCTTAATATTTGTGATGTTTTAACTGCTCCAATGTCCCGACAGAAGAAAATTACCCATATTAAAAACGTTCTCATAAAAAAGATGAACTGAGATGGAGCACAGAGCTTTGGAACAATATACATAACGTTAAAGGCAATAAACTAAGAAGTTACAGGCAATTTCATGATCGTAACGTTGTTGCTCTTATGTTTTAAGTATTAAATACAGGGACCACCGTCGCATTTTAGCTAGTTTTAGATCGGGATCTTTATCCCTTGCTATCGAAACTGGACGCTTTACAACTCCACCAACCCTTTCAGAAAATAGAATCTGCCCGCACTGTTCTAAGTATGTTCATCAAAAGTTTGTCGAAGATGGATTTCACTTTTTGATATTGTGTCCTTTATATGATGATTGTAGAAGTATTTTGCTTAGAGAATGTATTATTTTAAACCCGTTATTTGAAAATATTAGCGTTGATGACGCTTTCATTTATATTTTAGAATGAAAAGAAATTCAGCCCTTGTTGGCCAGTACACCTTTAAAGATGTTTAAACGTAAGCATTTATTTAGCTAGGCATTTAGCATTCAGTGTATGTAAATTTTATTGTCAATGTATTTTATAGTATATAATGTATATAATGTTTTATTGTGTCTCATAAGCCTAATGGCTGGGTGTTACTTTTCAATATGCCAAAGAACATGCATATATATCTCTTTTGTAAGAGACACGTTAATAAAATAACTCTCTCTCTCTCTGTCTCTCTGTCTCTCTCTCTCTCTCTGTCTCCCTCTCTCTCTCTCTCTCTCTCTCTCTCTCATTCTAATACTGGCTTCCAAGCAACTTGTCCATAACAATCACTGTATTGTTTCCCTCAGTCATGCCTTGTTAATCCTACTTATTCAATATGTACATCAATCATGATTTTAAACTATATGTTGTGTAACCTTGTGTAACCTTCAATCTATCATCGTTCTATGTATAAACATCCATGTATATAACCTTCCTATTTCAGATAACGGTGTTAGTATCTACACCGAAACGTCACATTCATAACAATAAAGAAGTCCAAACTATCTCCTTTGTTTGTATATACAAAATAACTGAAATATGAGAGTTTGTTTTACATTACCTGGCTGATAACATCAGTCAAATAACGTAACCCATCTCTGATCAAACAACACTCGCTAATTACTTCAATTAGTTGTTGATTGTTAATTAGTCGGATCCAATTACTTTAGCCAATTTTCATATCCACTGCGTTAAAAAACTGTGGCTTCCACTCACTTGAAATGGCAAATACTTTAAATAGACTATGGCTTATCAAGATAATCTCATCCTTCGTCCACTGACATCAGAGAGAACAGCCGAAGTAGCTATTCAGCTTGTTGACATAATCCCGATGTTTGAGACTCCAGTTTGTGGCTCTTTAGGGACCGACCATTTGATATTCTGTGGAGAGCCTGGGATTTTATATTATATTATATTATTTTGATTAGATATTATTTCGGGTTCAGCTACAAAACCAGATTTCTTTTATTTAAAGCTATGAGCCTGGGTTTGAAATAAAGAAAACACCTTGCAACAATGTTATTTTTGTTGAAGACAATTTCTTTTGTTTCAACTGTCTGAAGCCTAATTATTTTTTCAAGAATTTTCGGACCACTATATTTTTTAACCACAGCCTAAACACAACATCCCCATAATCTAAACATGTGTAGGTTTAACATGTTCAGAATTTAAACATGTTTACGACAAA